AAAAAGCTTAAAAGCAAAACAATAGGTGAGCTAGAATGCCTAGCTAAAGAAGACTGGATGGAGACTGATTGTAATAGACACTTCTGAAACACGGGGAATGTCAAACCAGGGCCCTTTGTTGTATATTATAAACTGTATTGGAAGCGCACATTAGGTTGTGGTGGGGAAATAGCACTGTATCTGAAAGAGTATGTAGAAATTTTATCACATTAGATTTCAAGTGGAAAGGACCATGTAACACAATCTGTATGCATACCAATTCCAAATCATCATCATAAAAATATATTAGTAGCATTGTACTACCAGCCTCTGAATCAGGAAAATACATTAAAAGTGCACTGTGGAGGAAAATCAAAGATATAACTAAATCAAATACAGATGCAATAATGATGACCCCACCTCCAACTAGCCACATATCACAGCTGAGCAAGGTTTATAGAAGCAATTTCTCAACCCATTAAATGATTGCTTCTTAGCATTAGTTCTAGAGCACAGAAGAGGAGAGGATACTCTTGACTTGGTCCTAAATAACACAGAGGAGTTGATTCAGGAAGTAAGCTAGCATCCTTCAAAAAGTGTGAATCCTTCCCAACTGAAGCCAGTAGAAGGGAACATAAAGTATTTCAGGTAAAATGTAAATTGGAAATTATAAAGGTTAAGAGAAATTTTGTGGAGTAAATAGATGATCTCAAAAACAAATAAGCCTTATCAGAGTGTAAAGGAAGCAGTTGAGGAAGATAAGGTCTGTCTTCTCCTGAACATCTGCTGTAGTGATAATGACCCCATTCAGGTAATAAATGAAGCACTGCAAAAGACAAATGTCAAAAGAAGAAATTCTGAAAGAAACTGATAAGATGAACAGCACCAAATAACTAGGAGTTCATAATCTTTATACAAGACTTCTGAAGGAATTCAAGTGTGGAGTGACCTGAGCTTATAACATAAATATGCACTCTCATTAAAATAATCTACTATACTATTGGATGGGGGAATAGCACATGTACTTTTCTTTTAAAAAGTTGCTAGAATGATCTTGGGAATTCGGTACTGAAATAAGGATACTAATCTATTAGAATGCTTGAAATAATAATTAGAGTATTTTATAAAACAACTAGATGAGCAGGAGATAATGGGGGACAAACCAGCATTACTTCTGTGAATGAAAATTATGCCTTTCCAATTTACTATAATTTCCTGATCATGTCAAAATGGTGATGCAAGGAAAAAGAGTAGATGTCAATTACCTAAGTTTTCAACAAGTGTGTGACAAAGTCCTGCACAAGAAGCTATTAAAGGAAATGAAGTAGCCATGGGGTTGAAAGGACGTACTATCTTGGAGTAGAAGAAACGAGCAAAGAGACTGAGAAAAAGGATAGGAATAAATGGCCAGTTTTCAAATTGGCCAAAGGTTAAACAGTATGCATCTAGGATCTCTGCGAGGACTTATTGGGTTGAACAAATTTGTTAAGGGTCTGGAGATGGAATGAACAGTTAAGATGCAAAAGTTTGCAGATTTAATTATTTAGGTTAGTCTAGATAAGACTTTGAGGGACTCAAGGGGGACCTAAAAACATAGCAAAAATAGTCACCACGATGGAAGCTGAAATTCAGTGTTGAAAAATTCTAGGTACTGCATCTTGGAGGAGTAAAGCACTCATGCAGCTCGATGGGTTCTAAATTTAATTGTAAGCACTCAAAGAAAGATGCAGCCTTCATTGGGGACAGCACAAGAAAGATATCTGCTCAGTGCACCGAGGCAGTCAAAAAGCAAACAAAATGTTAGGATGTATAAAGAATGGGATAGAAAATAATATTGAGAATATAATTATATAAGTTGGTACTAAGCCTTCACCTTGAGTACTTTATTCACTTCTAATCACTTCACCTCAAAAGAACTTATGATAGAAACATTGAAAGACTTCTAGTTAGAAAGAGTAGTGGGGAAAAAAGAAGGCTGTTTAGTTAACAGGGGGAAAAATAATAGGGGTCTTTATTATTGATTGCATCACCTTGCTATTTACATCTTTCCACTGGCTCCCGTATTTCTATTATATCAGATACAAACTGATAATGTTCATTTTTAAGACTTTCCTTTGTTTTTGCCTATCATAGCATCTTATATATAACTAAATTGTCAATCCCACCTCCATCAGTGATACCAGCCTCTGCATATCCAAAATTATATTAAATAGAACAACAGTTTGTGTTAGAAGAGATATAGAGCTTAAATGTATAAGCCAGTCACTATCTACCTTTGGTTAGGAAGAAACTTACACGAAGGGCAACTTAGACTAGACTAGACAAAGTGTTAGTCTGATCTGTATGGCAATTTCAATGTTGTTTGCAGTGCTGTAGCCGTGTTGATCTCAGGATGTGAGAGAGACAAGGTAGAGGTACTATCTTTCATTGGACCAGCTGTTTGTGAAAGAGACAAGTTTTTGAACAACACAGCTCTTCCTCAGTTTTTGTCTTTATCATTTTTCTGTGCCAGTTCATTGGAGAGCACAGTGATTGTCAGGTTTCACCCACATAGTTCTTGTTGGGGCATTTGATGCATGGATGAGGTGCACTACATGTTGTGATAAGTAGGACCCATTCATCTTGAGAGGTGTGTTGAGGGGGTTATTTATCTTCATAGTAGTGAAGATATGTCTGCATGTTTTGCATCTGTTCTGGCAGGGTTTGGTGCTGCTTTAAGTTGGTGTGTCCTGGTCTGTGGGGAGCTTGCTTCTGATGATGAGCTTGGTGAAGTTGGGGGAAGGGGCATTGTTTGAAGGCCAGAAGAGGGAGTGCAGGAAAGATTTCTTTCAGGATGGATCCCTATCAAGCATGATTTGTAACTGTTGATGATATGGGTGCTAGTGTGGGGTGGTACGTTACAACTTGGGGTGTGTGGTCAGTGGGATTTATTTTTCAGTGGGTGAAATCAGACCATGACTATGCTTTCCAATGAACTAACACAGAAAAATGATAAAAGACAACATAAGAAGCAAAGGTCCATCCAGCCTAGCATCCTGTCCCCAAACAGTGGCCAATGCCAGGTGCTTCAGAGGGAATGAGCAGAACAGGTAACCATCAAGTGATCCATCCGCTGTCACTCATTTCCAGCTTCTGGCAAACAGAGGCTAGGGACACCATCGCTGCCCATTCTGGCTAATAGTCATAGATGGACCCATTCTCCATGAATTTATCTAGGTCTTTTCTGAACCCTGTTACAGTCTAAATCATTCCAGGCAGGGCTTTGTCAAGCTGGGCCTTAAAAACCTCAAAGGATGGAGATTCCACCACCTCCCTAGGTAACCGATTCCAGTGCTTCACCACCCTCCTAGTGAAATAGTTTTTTCCTAATATCCGACCCCACTGCTTGTCCAGCTCTCACCAAATGCAGCAGTGCTCTAGCAAACTATTCAATCTGATGGATATCAAAAGTGCTAAAAGAACAGGAGTACTTGTGGCACCTTAGAGACTAACGAATTTATTAGAGCATAAGCTTTCGTGGGCTACAGCCCACTTCGCAGTAGCCCACGAAAGCTTATGCTCTAATAAATTCGTTAGTCTCTAAGGTGCCAGGAGTACTAC